AAAAAAAAAAAAGTAAAAATCTTATTTCTACACACCAGCAAGAAGCAATCTTGAACAAATTCACTTACCATAGAATAAACAGTAAAATACTTATGAAACTGAACAACGAAAAGCAAAACTTACACCGTGATCAAAGTATAAAGTCCTTTCAAAAGATAAGCCATTACATTCAAAGTCAAATGAATTCTAGCGTGTCAGGACAACTTCAGTGGGGAATGAAAACGTTCTCAATAAATGGTTCCGGGACAACAGGATGACCACACAACAAATGAAGCTGGACCTCTTACTTGCATTATACACAAAATTTAATTCAAGATGGATCAAAGACCTAAGTGTAAAAGCTACAACTATAAGACTCTTAGAAGAAAATACAGGAGTGTTCGCTTTGGAACGCCTGACTGAGCAAAGCCTTCTCATATGTGAAATCAAAACCACAGACAACATAAGAAAAAGCAAACCAAACTCCAGGAGAATTAAAAACACGCACTGCAATGGATAACACCATGAAAAGTGAAAAGAAAACCCACAGAACCGACACATTCTGTAAATCACGTATCTGATAAGGGGCACATACCTAAAATATATAAATAACTCTTAAAACTCAGTAATATTTCAAATTTCTCTGAAAAAAAAACTGAGTAAGGTCTGAATAGAGATTTCTTCCCAAGAAGATGAGCAGGTGGCTTCTAAGCACGTGTCACCGTCCATAAAAGACGCGTGAATCACAAGCACAGTGACAAACTGCTTCAGACCTAACACAACAGCTATGAGTGCAAAGGTAGATGACGTCAGGAATGAGGACAAAGCTGGACACGTCACACATTGCCGAGAGGAACACAAAATAGGCCGGCTGCTTTGGAAAACGGCCGAGCAGTTCTTTAATCATACAGCCCAACAATACCACTCCTGGATATACTCAAGAAAAATGAAAATGCCTACAAAGAAACTTGTTCGCAAATGTTTACCGCAGCACCGTTTGTAATAACCACAAAGTACAAACAATCCCAATGCCCATCAACTGAACAATGGCTAAAAACTGTGACATACACCTACACAATGATGGAGCTTAATTTGATCCCAAAAACACAACTAGAACTGATATATGCTACAACACAACTGAGCCTTAAAAACAACAAAATAACACAAAATATGGTGTGATTCAATGTATTAGTTGAGGTTTATTTACTTATTTATTTTTAGTTGAGGTGTGACTCAGTTTATAGGACCTATCCTGAAGAGGTACATAAACACAAAAAGTGAGTGAGTGCGACACGCGGCTGGTGCTAGGAGGGGACATGCTGACGCATAAGGGGCTTCTTGGAGTAATAAAACTGCTCTGAATCTCATCAAAATGGTTGTACCTATCTGTAAACACACTAAAAAAAATTGAATTGCATTTTTTAAATAGATGAACTAAGTGATCTGTGAATAAAGCTCCCACCGAAGAGAAAATCTGGCTTTCCACTGTTTATGGGACTAAAACATCAAACACGCTGTGCCCCCTATGTACCCCAGCCACAGGAAGCAGCCGAGTCCTTCAACACGCCACCCTGCTGCAG